AGTTTTCTTCTCTTTGCAGGGTCAACAAACAACAAAACAAACTAACCAAGTTCAGTATTTTATAATCCTTAGTGGTCCCTCTATTTTGTGAGACTATTATATTTAATTCTATTCTCTCCTTCAACTTAAAAAAATTAATTTTCACATATTACAAAGATTCTTAAAATATGTAAACTTTAATCCTCATCAGCCACTCCCTGAACTTCCTTCAGAATCAATTGAAACTCCTCCCACTTAACAATAAATTTTATCCTCTTCATTGGTCTACTTTTGTTACTAGATGCAAACATGATGTGATTACTAAGGTATAACATAAGTAACTTGTTTTGGACTAAAAAAAAATAAACAGGAATTGTTTGGTTTTAACCCTAAGGGTCAAACAAGCCCTGGCATAGTACTTAAGTGAAGGATGGAAGAATGAGTCAGATTTCAAATCAGTTTGAGTAGGGAAAGTGGAGTGACAAGCTTTGTTCACTCAGGTTACGGCACGAAAGATACAGAGAAGTGAAAGGTCCTATAATTTAAATTTCTAAGTGTTCCCTGGAAAGTGGTTATGGGAAAGCAGAGGTAGATTAGAGCCATGCCTTGATGTTTTAAGATGCTTTGAATTCTATACTGAACACTGTGAATTTTCTCCGGTGGGTAATTAGGTACATCATCTGGAATTCTGAATAGAATAGTGTGTTTTTACTTCAGATGATAGAGGAAGGCCTGGCTGAAAGTAGAACGTTTGTTATCTCACATATCAAGAAGGTGTAGAGATAAGGTGAATTCAGGGATAGAGAATTTAGTCATTCAGTGAAAGCATGGTTCAACTCCATTTCTCTGCAATTGTTTCCCCCCATTTTTTCCATATGGCTGATTTAATTTCAGACATCACATTCTCAGGCAACAGTGTCCAAAAGTGGCTGCTAAAGCTTTTATAATTTTTTCATGTTCTTGCCTTGAAATTTTATGCAGTAGATTCCTCTTATGTCAGTGGCCAAAATTTTTCCATAAGCCTATTTGGGAAATGATCACTGCTCCGGGAATGGAATGACCTAATCCTAAATTATTTTGTAATTCCCAGATTCCCCCAAATATGAGGCTTACCTGATAGATGAACAATATGAGGGGTGAATTAGTAAGGAAGAAATTGGGGAAAGGATTGATAATCTAACTAAGTCTGACGAAGATATAACAAGATGAGATCTGCATTTTAGACATCTAACCATGGAAGGAGAGTTTGGGATAAGTTAGAGAATGTAAAAGAAAGAAGCAAATAAATCACAACTTTTTAATGCAGTGACGATGTAAGAGAAAAGTAAACTGAGATGTACAACCAGGAATTCCAAATAAAATACAGACACCTCTAGTAGTCTCTTGGGCATGAAGAGTGAGAGAAAAGACAGAGATAACCCCAGGGTTGAAAACGGAAGCTTAGCCATATCATTAACTGAGCTGATAAATAATAGGGAGAAATGGTTACTGTCTGCATAGCAATGTGTTGACCTTTACCTTGAGAAAATAAATAATGAGTCTATTCTCTTTCATCTATATGGAAAAATTGAACTAGAAACTCTATTGATTAAAAATGCTTAAGTTCTGGACATGAAGTTTTCCTTTAAAAGTTAATTTATTCTTGATTTATATGTTGTGTTTTTTGAATACCTCTTCAGATTCAGTTCAAGAAATATTTTTGAATAATTATTTTAATAAAGGTTACTGGCCATATAAACAGAACTGTCACTCTTCTCAATTATATAATTAACATAGACTTTTGAGTGTATGTTATTTAAGAAAAATAAAACTAGTAGGCTTGCAGAATAAAACAGGTAATGTAGTTATATGTCCATGATACTTAGATTTGATTTGAATTGATTAAAAATATTGTCATATCCTATGTCAGCAGATTTAGAGAAAATGTTTTTATAAAGAACAAGTGCTAGGTGGCTTATTTGTATTTATTTTTAGGTACATAAATGAATATTTAACAACAAAGAATCACTGTTTCAGCTGAGCCTTTATAAGTGTAATTAACTAACATTTATGGTATCACCCAGCTTGAACTTATAAACTCTCCAATTTACAACTAAATTTAATTGTATTCCCCCTCTGACTAGATAATAAAGGAAATTGTTTTATACCTGAACAGGTCTTTATCAGCCCTCAAGATTTTTAATGGTGACCTGCTCTCCTCACCCCTGTTTTTTATTGTTTGTCTCCCTCTTGGTACTGCTCGTCATTTCTCTCTCTATCATATAACATTTTATCTTTAAGAACTGTAAAATATTTCATATAATTAAGATATATGTATCTGAAATGCTATCAACAAAATTAATTTGATATGTTAACCCATTCCTCTTTGATCCTTTGAAAGGTTTGCAAGGTATATGCCGGAATAGCTGATCAAAAAAGCTTTGATTATCATAAGGAAAGCAATTGTTGATTATTCCAACATTGGGAAGTAAATAACCAATTTTCTTAATAAATTGCTAATGTTAATAAAGTTCAGAACATAAGAAAAACATTGAAATATTAAATTGCTCTTTTTTTATTAGGCGTACCTTTTAGGTAAAATATTTCATATATCTAATTTTTGTTCTATATTTCTATAGAAAACTTTGGTGTATCGTGAAAATAGCTACAGACATTCACACACTATATTTACAAAAAGAATGAAAACATAATTCTTATAGATACGTATATATATGTATGCATATTAGAGAAAGCATACACATAATTCTTGTAGATTTGAATATGTATTCATACATTTTAGAGAAAACAATGTTCTGGATTTTCTTATTATTTTGCCTCTGAAAAGCAATGGCATGTATATGGAATAATATTATTTACTATGCCACCCCTATTCACATTTTCTGGAATGTCTTTAAGATGTTATTCATAGCTGTTCTATTTTACTTTATTTTTTTCAATATAGAATACCTATATTGTATTTAGTTTTTATGGTAATTTATGTTATCTAGAATAGTCCTCCCTTCTTAATTCTGTATCATCTTCTATTAATATATTTTTAAAAAGTCTGACTCTATTGTTGTATAGAACACTTCTCACCCTGGCTTTGTCTGATAGTTTCCTCACTGTTTGAATCAGGCTAAATATTTGTGGCAAGAATACTACATAGGTTATGTGTGTACAAGCAGCATACACTGTCCTTGTACTTGGGGGATACATGCTGAATTATTTGACAGAAAAGTATCATAGTGTATGCAGCTACTTTTAGATAGTTTGTAAGAAAAAATATATACCCACACATACACATATGTAATCTATATCTAGAAAGAGCATGAGTAAAAGAATGAACCTAAGTGAAGAGTATACACCAATGATCATGGATAATCTTTCTCAATTTTTAAGTAGTTTGAAACATTTCAAATAAAAAGCTGGGAAGCAGTGAGGTGGGCTAGTAAAAGCAAATGGTATGGAGATGATACACTGAGGTAGAGTGGTCATTCTGCCACTTGCTGGCTGTGTGATTTTGGATAAATCTTTGGAAATATCTGAGCTCAAATACCTCAACTTTAAAATGAAGATGAACTCTGAGTTTCTATGTTGTTTTTAAGATTAAAAAAGACATGCCCTGGCTGGTGTGCCTCAGTGGATTGAGCACAGGTCCACAAACCAAAGGGTCGCCGGTTCGAATCCCAGTCAGGGCACATGCCTCGGTTGCTGGCCAGGTCCCCAGTAGGGGGCACATGAGAGGCAACCACACATTGATGTTTCTTTCCCTCCTTTCTCCCTCCCTTCTCTTCTCTCTAATAATGAATAAATAAAATCTATTTAAAAAGATTTAAAAAGATAACATACCAGAGCTCTTCACACAGTAAAGCTGGACAGAATACCAAAACAATCACAAGTTCTTCTCAGAATGGAAGCCTGGTCAGTCTACTTTAATATCTTACAGAAAGACCTGTAACAAGAATCAAGAATATATTCATCATCATCTAAAGTGACAGAATTTTAAATTGGTTTTTGGTTCTATTAGAGAAATGAATTTTGCATACTTCAAGTGACCTTGATGACTGTAAATAAAATGAAGTTCAAGGATGACTAGTGTAGAGTTAATTAATATAGGAAATCAATTAAAAAACACACAAATATAAGATGAATAAGAAATCTATAGTATACAAAAGATTATAGATGGCATTAATGTAAACGTGAACAATGCAGTCCTTAATTTAAATTATGAAGCTGATGCTAGTGTATGTAAATGCTAATATTATAGCACGAGAGAATTTCTCTAACTTTAGATTGATTTCACAGTTGCCTTGAAACTAGAATGTGATCTGAAGAATTGATTTATTTATTCTGTGGGTAAGTATTAATTGAGCACCTTTTTAATTTTGAGCCTTTTTCAGAGATGCAGTATGAAAAAAAAATGAGATGAATATTCTTATGTTCAAGGAATTCAGAGTCAAGCAGAACAGATGTTTTTAGGCAATTACAATTGTTTCCTCCATTGGGGTGACTACTGGGTTTGGATGCTTCTTTCAAAGCAGCATCTAAACATTTCTTGTAGTATTGGGACAGTTTTGTGGAATTTCTACCCTTTAGTTGTGATAAAACTTTTACTTTAGAGCAGGTCATTTGATATATAAAAGGGAAAAAAATAAAACTATTCCTGATCTTAAAATATAGGACCTGTTAGAGACTCCTTTACTCTTAGTATTTATAAGTTCTAGGTCAACAAATAAGAAGAAAGTATACACTGGGATTTTTTTTTTTTTTTTTTTTTTTTTTTTTGCTGATAAACATTAGGTTTGTATTTCTTGGGGATAGAATCCTTGCTGCCTGATTTGGTTGGGAGCTTTATCTGTGTTTGAAACAAATTCACTAGCATATTGAAACTGAACTTCAGATTTTCAAATATTAGTTAACAGATTGAAAAGTCCTATATATTGTTATCCAAGTAAAACCTTTTGTTTTTATTCTTCCACTTTTTTGTCTTCTGTTCTTTTCTAACTGGTTCCTTTTTCTTTTCTTCTTCCCTTTCCTCCCAGTCTCTTTCCTTTGTTCTTTCCCTTTCCTTTCTCTATCCTTCCCTTTCCCTTTCTCTCACTTTCCCCCTTTCCCTTCCATTCTTTCAAGATATAAGTCTGACAAGCCAAGGAAAAGAGGATCCAGGGTTCAAGAGGTGTCATCATTGTCAGTGGCCAGTCCCTGGGGTGAGGAAGCAGCTCATAGAGTCAAAGACTATTTACAAGTAAATGAGTGAGCAAGCAAATAGTTTATAATGACAATGGACTCCAGTTTTTCACTGCTGGAGAAGAAATTTACAAATATGTCAATACTGAAGACAGATTGACATCTGTGATGTTGGGTTGAACTTGGGGATATTGTTATAAACTTTTTATTTTTTTAATTCAAATCTTGGTTTTTATCACTTATTATATGTGTGGCAATTTATTTTATTTATTTATTATATTTTATTGATTATGCTGTTAGAGTTGTCCCAATTTTCCCACCTTGTCCCCCTCCACCCATCCCCCCCACTCCCTCCAACAATCTGCCCTCCTCATGCATATAAGTTTTCTGGCAACTTCATTTCCTATACTTGCTCTTAACATCCGTCTGCCTATTCTGTGCCTACCATTTTGTACTTCTTAATCCCTTCACTTTTTACCTCATTCCCACAAAACCCCCTCCCAGCTGGCAATGGTCCAAATGTTTGCCATACCTATGATTCTGTTTCTGTTCTGCTTGTTTGCTTAGTTTTTTGTTTGTTTGTTTGTTTTGTTTTTTTAGATTCAGTTGTAGATAGTTATGTATTTATTGCCATTTTAATATTCATAGTGTTGATCTTCTTTTTCTTAAATAAGTCCTTTTAACATTTCATATATTTCAAACATTTCATAGTTTGGTGATGATGAACTCCTTTAGTTTTACCTTGTTTGGGAAGTACTTTATCTGCCCTTGGATTCTAAATGACAGCTTTGCTGGGTACAGCAATCTTGTTTGTAGGTCCTTGCATTTCATCACTTTGAATACTTCTTGCCAATCCCCTCTAGCCTGCAAAGTCTCTTTTGAGAAATCAGCAGACAGTCTTATGGGAACTCCTTTGTAGGTAATGATCTGCTTTTCTTTTGCTACTTTTAAGATTCTCTCTTTTTCTTTAACCTTTGGCATTTTAATTATTATGTGTCTTGGTGTGGTCCTCTGCATCCGCCATGTTTGGGACTCTGTTCTTCCTGGACTTGCACATTTATTTCCTTCACCAAATTAAGGAAGTTTTCTTTCATTATTTTTTCAAATAAATGTCCAATTTCTTGCTCTTTTCCTTCTCTTTCTGGCACCCCTATGATGAGAATGTTGGTATGCTTGAAGTTTCCCAGAGGATACTTACACTACCCTTGGTTTTTTAGATTATTTTCTTACTGTACTGATTGGATATCTTTTGCTTTCATATATTCCAAATCATTGATTTGATTCTCAGCTTTATCCACTCCATCGTTGATTCCCTGTAAATTGTTCTTTTTTTCAATTAATGAATCCTTCATTTCTGACTTTATCTTTTTTATGATGCTGAGGTCCTCACTAAGTTCCTTGAGCATCCTTATAACCAGTGTTTTGAATTCTGCATTTGATAGAATGCTTACCTCCATTTCATTTAGCTCTTTTTCTGGAGTTTTGATCTGTTCTCTGTTCTTTCATTTGGGCCATGTTTCTTTGTCTTCTCGTTTTGGCAGCCTTCCTGTGTTTGTTTCTATATATGAGGAAGAGCTTCTTTCACTATGTGTCTTGGTAACATGGCCTAATGTAGTAGGTGTCCTATGGGATCCAGTGGCACAGGCTGCCCTATCAACCAAGATGGGTACTCAAGGTGCCCACATGTGGGCTCTGTACACCCTCCTGTTGTAGTTGAATCTTGATTGCTGTGGGTAGGTCAAAGGGAGGGATTTACACAGGCCAGTCAACTGATAGGACTGGCTATGACCCCTGACCACCAACTACCTCCATCCGTGGCTTGTGGAAGTGGTTGGGTGGTGGTGTTTTGATGTGGTCTGTAACTGTCCACCGGTGCACAGGCTCAGGGGTTTCCTGGGTGATCCAGGCCAGGGTCAACCTCCACCTGTGTTCTGTCTGGAGCCACTTAGTATAAGCTATAAAATGATATACAGTTGTCTGTTGTTGGTACTAGGCCTGGGGCCACTTAGAGAGAGGTATGTGGGCTAGGCTCAGCAGTTGCCTGTTTGAGTGTATTTAGGAAGGTCTAAAGCCTGCACCAAACCAAGCCATTCATATAAAAAAGCCACTGTTCAGAGCTTGGTTTGGCCCATAATTTGGATGGGGCAGAGCCTTAGGTAATCGCCAGGACAGAGCAAAGTGTGTAGGCCAGACTGATGGAGTCTCATATGTGGTACCACTGCACTGTGGCTCTGGGTGGGAAGGCTCAGAAAAGGAACAATGGTTGCTGCCTGGAGTTCTATCCAGGGGGGAGCTGTCCCCCAGCTCTTTCCCTGATGCCAGACACTTCAGATCCTCCCCATATGCCATTGGTGCCTTTTAAGCTGTTGCCCTGGTGCTGGAGCCCAGAGGGGGTGAGTCTGAGTAAGTCCATGTGTGGGGGCCTTTAAGAGAAGATGCCTGAGAATCCTGCAATTTCTTCTGCCCACCCAACCCTCACTGTTTTTTCACAGGCAGAAGTTATGGGGACTTATCTTCCTGACATTGGAACCCTGGACTGGGCGGTCTGGTGTAGGGCTGGGATCCATTGCTCCAGAGATATACCTATTGATTTTTATCTACCACATGTGGCTGTGGGACCAGCCCATTCCACATCGTGTCATCACGCCTCTGAGTTTTTGCCCCTCTGCCCTTCTTACCCCTCTAGATGAATGTGGTTTCTTTAATTCCTTACTTGGACCTCCATTGAGCTCAATTTTCTGATGTTCTTGAGAGATAGTTGTCCTATAATTTAGTTATAATTTTGCTGTGGTTGTGTGAGGAGGTGAGCAGTGTTTACCTACATGTCTGTCTTGATTGGCTGATTTTTAATAGAGGGAAAGAAATATTGCTATATACAAATGTCAGTATGTGTGTGTGCTTATATGAACATGTATCTTCTAGCTTTGTCTTTTTGACAGAGCCAGGAAGCAGTGCCATTTATAAGTAATGATTTCACCAAACACTCAGATATTAAATACTCAAAGATACAAGCACTCTTGCATAATGACTGGTTACAGTGGTTGAGCAGGGAAAGTTAAAAATGAGCTGGCACTCTCCTATTTTACAAGGCTGTACTCAAATATAATGAGTATTTTCTTTGTAAAAAAGAAAAGAAAAAACACAGGAGCAAGCTTGCAAAGTCTTGCTGAGTAAACCTAGGAAATGTGAGCATCAAATTAAATATTGATAATAATAGATTATTACCTACTAAATAAAGTAGAAATCTGCAAGAACCTACTGACATAAAGAAATAAATAGACAAATGGGGAGAAAGAAAGCTCTTCCTTACAGGAGGATGCCAACTAATATATGTAAAAGGAAGGGTGAATTAGAAAGTATTTTGATATAATCATCATAATAATCAAATTAAACACGATTTATCAATGGATGCTAACTAGACAGTGAAATTATGTTGAGAATAGAATATTTTCATTTTCAAAGTATCTCCCCATAAATATTTACTAATTACGAAGGTGAAAATAATGGCTTTGCAGTTAAAGCCATCATCTTAACCAAATGATCGCCAGTAATGGGACAAATCAATATCATTTTTGTAATATACAAAATAGAAGTGCAGGATCTGAAACTAATTATAAACAGTTATCAAAGAAACTAAAACTGAGGGCCATTCTATAACTAACTGAACACATTCTTAAAATGAATTAAAGTCACAGAAGTAAAGGTAAGATTTGGGAATAGTTCCCGGGATGAAGAAGACTAAAGAGATATGACCCCCAAAAAATAATATGTATTTTTGGATTAGATTCTAGATCAGAAGGAAACAATAAATAATATCTAATGAGGGAAATATTTAGACAATTGTTAAAATTTGAATGGGATCTGTGGACTAAATGGCAGTGTTTAGGTGCTATTGTTTTCAATGTTAATTTCCTGATTTAGAGAGTCATTTTCACTTAGGAAATTCACTATAAAATTTTTAGAGGTAATAGGATGTGCTGTTGGCAACTTATATTCAACTGATTAACTAAGAAATATTAGTTAATCATACATATACATACAGGGTAGAGAGAGACAGGCAGACAGAGGATAAAAAAGAACCAGGAAGGGAAGGAGAAAGAGAAAAGGGAAAGACAAGAAGAAGCAAGAGTGGTAAGATAACCACAAATAGGGACCCTGAGTGCTAGATGAAAGGAGTTATTTATATTATTTTTGCAAATTCTATGTAAGTTTGTTTTTTTAAAAAAACCCTAACTAAATTAATCTATATTGTATGGCCTCTGAAATCATCCATATATTAGCATAAACCTGTATTAAATGTAAACATAATTAACTTAAATACTGTGGTAGTGATATGTAGGCATTATATGGCAGGACATTAAAATTCGATCCTTAAAATATAAAATTTTTTGTTCCTAATTTTCAATTTCTTTCTTAAGTGTGTGTGTATGTGTGTTAGTATTCTTATATGATCACAATCCCGGGATTCAAAGAAATTGTGATTGAGTTTTTGTTCTGAATGATTGCCTACAAGTTATTTATTTTTTTAATATCTTAGTTCCTAAATTTTAGAGTATAAGTAATAAAATCTACATTTTTCACAAAATTGTCTTATTACACTGATAACTTTAAACTTATAAAATATAGTCTGTCTTGATTATGCACAACAGTCATCAGTTCATTACTAATGACTAAGACTAGGAAAGTAGAATATTGAAAATTATGAGTCCCAAATATTTGATAATCCCTATAGCGGTCATAAAGCCAGAATTCAAAGAGGCCTTTAAAATTTCAGAGCCAAACTCATTAGCATTCTATATGTTCATTAATTTTTCCCCTATTAAATTGCCAATTAATGAAAGTGATACATAGGAAGACACCATGTCCAAGGTTCAGTAGCAGATATCTGATTAGGTGTTTTCTTGTTTTTCCTATCCAATTTACAAAAATCTATTATAAAAAATGTTTACCTTATTACATAAGTTAAATTTAGATAAATAAAAATTGTCATGGTATAGTGATAGGTACTTTTACTTTGTACAATGAATCTATTAAAATATATTTTATTGTAACTTTATTCTGA